TATTACTGCTTTTGCTGTATTTTGGATCAAATAAATGCAGGCTTGGTGAGCAGAAGAGACTTTAAAAACATTGAAAAATCTTACTGTTCAAAATCTTTTGACTGGTAGTGTACTTGCCAATTTGTGATTTTCAGTATGTGTATGTTTTGCCATGATACAAAGTCCCCAGGGGACTGTGGTGATGCCCTTTTTTTAAGCTAGTGCATCTGAGAGGTCAAGATTTGTTGAGGTAAAAATAATGGTTTAAAGTGCAGTACTACAATTGGATTGTTTTTACAGGTAAAAAATTATTAAACTAAATGAAAATAGACTCTACAGTACTGGTACTGTAAATGAAAATACGGTAATAATACTGTAAATAAAATACAGTAAAGACATTATTGTACTGTAAATGCAATTACAGTAATAATACTGTAAACATTTTTACAGTAATTTACTGGCATCCAGCTGCCAGTAAGTTACTGTAAAATTTACAGCAACCTATTTACAGTAGGAGTTACATCTACATGTAATTTCAAAATGATTTATTGTGGTAACACTTTAGAATACTGTTCCATCATTAATGAATAACTACACAAGAACACATATGTAACACAATATTAGCACTCTAGTAACTACTAGTAACTAAAAAGTAAGCAATAGTGAAATAGTAAGTAATAGTGCTTAACCTAATGTGGTATTTCACTATTAGTTAATCAGGAACTGCTATTTTTTTCCATACCTCCCCAAGAACCACTAAGAACTACTGTAAACTGGTTAATAATTAAAATGAACAGAATAATGTATAATGTATAATTAATTCTAAAGTGAAGGTTATGGTAACCCTCTAGTGACTCAACTATTACCAAATTCTTCAGAAGGAATTACTTATTATTTGGATCAGTATTCTAAAGTGCATAACATGATAACTCTATAGTAATTACTGAAATCATTGTAAGCTTTTGAGGTTTTTGTAAGATTCTGGATAGTAATTCCTTTGTTAATCAGGAACTGCTATTTTTTTCCATACCTCCCCAAGAACCACTAAGAACTACTGTAAACTGGTTAATAATTAAAATGAACAGAATAATGTATAATGTATAATTAATTCTAAAGTGAAGGTTATGGTAACCCTCTAGTGACTCAACTATTACCAAATTCTTCAGAAGGAATTACTTATTATTTGGATCAGTATTCTAAAGTGCATAACATGATAACTCTATAGTAATTACTGAAATCATTGTAAGCTTTTGAGGTTTTTGTAAGATTCTTACTGAGATCTTCACTTTAGAATACTGATCCAAATCATTAGTAGTTCCTTTAGAAGGATTTGTTAATACTTCAGTCATTACTAGTGGGTTACCATGATCTTCACTTTAGAATTAATTATACATTATGCATAATTCACATTAATTATTGTATAGTAGCTCTTAGTAGTTCTCCGGGATATATGAAAAAAAAATAGTAGTTACTGATTAGCTAATAGTGAACTACCAATTTCAACTGAGCACTATTACTTACTAAATTATTAATCAGAGTTTCTTGTTAGTTAATAGTACACTCTAAAAAATGCTGGGTTAAATATAACCCAGCGCTGGGTTAAAAAGGGACAAACCCAGCTATTGG